TTGAATACCTGATCCGTTGGAGGGGTTACGACGAAGAGACGTGGGAACCACTAGTTAACATAATAAAGGCTTCCGGGAGTATTAAAAAGTTCGAGAAAGACTTCCCTCGGAAGTTGAAACCGAGTAGAAGGGAGCGTTTAGTGGCAAAAGAACAGGAAATTCGTGGGCTAGAAGAGACAGGAGACTCCGAAGAAGACCCATAAAGCACTACTACTAGTAGTGGTGAGGGGAATGATTTGAGAGATACAGACTGGCATCCAGGGGATTAAGGGAGGACCTTATGTGACGATTTTGATTTGTGTATAGTGAATGTGGTTTTAGTCACGTGAGCCACGAGGCGACGAGCTCAACTTCAAATAGCTTCAGGTCCTGGGACCTCTTTCGCTCCTCGTAGTCAATTTAATCTATCAACCTGTACTGTCCTAGACGTGCATTCTCACATTATCTTAGGTATTTTCTAGTAAAGTTATAGTATTTCGAGCTAAATGATAAGTTATAATCCTTAAGTTAAACTACCTTAGAGGCTCTACCATAGAAGTACTAAATAAGGTATCTAAATCTCCTAAATTTGTTACGGAGTTGGAGGGACAAGGGGTAGATCACGTGTAGCACGGCACGTGCGTGTTGCTCAAATCTTGTATATAAGCTTCCGTTCCTCTGGAACTCTCTTCTTCCCTTACTTTGTTATTCGCTCAATATAGCAGTTTACACTTGACTCCGTATCTTATCACAGCAAGTAGTGGTTTACTCCACACGTTTACAAAATTATCTTTAATATTCTCTATATTTTATAAAGTTTAAGAGGTAATCTATTAACTATAATTTAGATATTAAGAGTAAATCTTTATATGACTCTAAAAGCTCTACTTTAACTTAGAAGGGTATACTAAATAGCTAAATAATCGTATACTTTTTTTAGTATAAATCCTTATAGCTAACTTTATCTCTTAAATCTACTAGGAATATACTTTATTTAAGTACTTATATATTATCTCTAGATACGCTTGTTTTAATAGTAAACTAGTAGTAAGGTTAGTTAATCCTCTAATCTAAAAGTACGTAACTACTAAGAAGAATAAAATTCTAATAAATATAAAGGCTCTTTAGAAACTAATTCACGTTTAATTATATACTTATAAGGTAAGCCTATACTCTTAGTAAATCGTCTTATATAACTATTATTATTAAGAAGTTCTTTTATAAGTAAGAGTTATATATAAGTCTTATCTAGGGCTAGGAAAGAAATATAGTTATATATAATGTAGAATATACTTAATTAAAAGTAGTATTTTATACTTTGTTATTATAACTTATACTTACTATTAATCTTATTAAATTAATAGTTAATAAATTAATTAATTATATTCTAATAAAATAAAAGATTAATATTTTTAATATTTTATATCTACTTTTAAAGAGCTATAGATTTCTTTTATATAAGAAGTAGTCACGTTTCCTAGGTATAGGTTTTCGTCTATATATACTACAACTATACGTTTATAGTTATTAATATAGAGCTAGTTTTACTTAATATAAAGAACCTCTAAGGTATAAGTTAACTACTACTTATTCTTAAATTCTATAACTATAGTATTATACTTATTTACTATTAGTAATTATATAATCTAAGTCTAGGATTTAAGAAACTCTTACTACTCTTCTTCTAAGTTATAACTAGTAAAGCTAGCTTTATAATACTTACTTACGCTTTTATTAGTATACTATATATATAAAAGTACTACCGAGTCTAAGAAAACTATAGCTATAGTATTCTAAATTATATCTACCTTATTAGTAAGAATTACCTTTAGAGTAATATCTCTAAGGTACTCTTTAAGCTACTTAAGATACGGAATAAGATTATCTTTTGATTTACTAGGAATAAATTTAAAGTATATATAAAAGGATTTGCTTATAGGATCTGTGATGGAGCTGGATTTCATTTGACAGGATTTCATTCGCTTGGCCAAGCACGTGACGAGACTTGGCATTGGAACAACTTAAATAACTTCGCTCCTTTCAGATTCTCTTCTCTCTTTAGTTTGATTTCTTCGTACCTACGGTTTTAGTTCTAGCAATTGATTCAAAAGCTGTATACACTTTATCCTTTGTTGGCATCCGTGACAGGATCTATACTAATTACCTTAAATAATAATAACTTAGAGCTATTTATATTATATATAATATTAATAATTAAGACTTAAGAATAGCGTCTAATATACTTAACTAGTCGAGGGTATATAAAAACTAAGGAAAGTAAATAATCTAGCTTATTTTATTATAAATAGGTTAAGAAATCTATTTTTTTATTAAGTTTATATAAAAGACGCTTAATATATAATATACTACTAAGTTAGTAGTACTTTCGCCTTTTAATTATATTATAAATATCCTAAGTAGTTATTAAATCCTCTTTAAAATTCTTAGCTAAAAAGCTTAAAGTATTTCTAAGTATACTACTACTAGTAATGTATTTAGAGATAGCTTTATCTTTTTCCCTCTTATATTATTAGTAGTATTATAAAGTATACTCTAAGCTAGTTTCTAAGAATAGTAGGTAGTTATATATGTTACGGAGTTGGAGGGACTGGGGTCTGGTCACGTGTAGCACGGCACGTGCGTGCCGCTGGCATCCTGTATTTAAGCTTCCATTCCTCTGGAACTCTATTCTCTCCTCCTCACTTAGTTGTTCGCTCAATACAGCAGTTTCCGTTTGACTCCGTATTCATCACAGCAAGCAGTGGTTCACTCCACACAGTTACAATATATATAGTACTTAATAGTTTCCCTCTTTTAATTAATCTAAGGTAATTTATATTATAACTCTTATCTTTAGTTATTACTAAGTTTAATAAGATTAATTATAAAGGTATAGCCTTATCTAAAACTTCTTTTATTTAATCTACTAGATCCTAATACCTTATATATCTTCTCTTTAATATGTCTCTCTTTTCGATTATATCTAATTAAAGTCTTAACTTTCTTTCCCTTTATTTTACTCTACGTAAAACTAAAGCTATACTTATATAGCCTAGCCTAATTATTTATATCCTAAATTAATTCTTCTTTTAAGGGGTATATCTTAATAAAAGAGAGGTCGAAATTATTGAATAAGTAGTTACTAGAGAATAGTAGAGCTAAGTTCTTAGGAACCTTAGAAACCTTAGGAACCTTAAGAAGTATAATTTAAGGAAGATCGATTTAATTTTAAAGTATAGATAAAGGTATATAGCCTTAGAACGTAAGTATAGATTATATTAAAATTAATGATAGAATTATAAGATTATAATTATTCTAGAGGTTTATTACTTATTAACAAAGCCTAGTATTAAGTTATTAAGCCTTCTTAAGAGCGTAGGAGTTTAATTAAGATTATAACTTAGTATTCTAGGCTTAAAGGCGATATAATTAGGTACTAGGAGACTCTAGTAGTTATACTATATTAAGTAGGATATAGCGCAGTTAAATAAGTCGGAATAGCTTTAAAGTTAAGGGTAGAATTTTTATTTATTACCCTACTACTAGCTAGAAAAAAATCTACTTCCCTAAAATAGAACTATGTTTACTACTAAGTTAGGGGTAGTAAATTTCTATAGGATTAGGCGAGGGGGGTGGGGAGTCGATTTACCAAACGCCCGGGGGTCGATTTACCGGGCGCCCCTTTGGAATTCCAAATTTCAAGGCCGTATCCTTTGGAATATTCCATTCCAATTTAGAGAGCCTTTGGAATATTCCACCTTGGAATGGAATCTTGGAATTCTTGGAATCGTATTCCAAGTGCCGAACGCTGTACCCATGGTAAAAATATGAAGAGCGAGGATGAAGATCAGAAAATCAACTACAAACTCGTCAAGATCCTTCACAGTACGATTTACGAGCCATCGAACAGACTCGAAATCTCTTTACGACTGCGTTACAAAACTGAGCACCACCAAGCAAAAGAAGCTTATGATGGATCTTTTGGCTCTTCGAAAAGGCTTCGAGAGGAAGGAAATCGACTATTTGCTATGGATCCAAGGCAAGGGAAACAAATAATTCAGCTGGTCCAAGCCGTTTGGTTCCAACTTTGCTAGTATTTGGGGGATCTCCCCGAATGACTGATGAAGAACCACCTGTGGCTGATCATTCTCAACGCGCCATAGCTATACTGAAAGCTACGAAAGGCATCAGAAAGTTGTGAGCTGAGCGGCAAATTCGAGAAGTTCTGAGAATGAGAAACGGTTCTTTGAAAAGCCATATACACATGCTATCCCCAGGAAATTGGGTAAGAGTATGGCGAGCTACGGCCAAATCAGGAAAATGGAACGGGTCGTATGAGTTAGTCAAAGTTGAAGGAAGGATGTGACTTTCGACGATAATGGGATAGAGACTGTCTAAGACACCACACAACACCATGCGATATATCGTTTGCTAGAAACCCATACTCTTTTAGAACCTCGTACGAATAACAACGCAACATGATATTCCACAACCAAGCATAGACGAGAGCGGAAAAGAAAGAACGGCAAATTCCATTCCAAGGGTGACTTAAATTATTATCGGTGTAGGATAGTGTCTACCAAACTTTCTACTAAACCACACCCCTCTCAACACAACACGGCATGTTCCATCCCCGTAAATAGAATAGACAAACCGCTTCATCTACACCAGTTTCTCACCATGAATCTTCTCGCGGGGGAGTCCTAACTCGACCCGAATACGTCCGTCTGCTCTTCATCTTTCCTCCCACTGCGGGGTAAGTGGATCCTTAAGACTCGGGCAAGCAAGCTGCCAACACATCCGTACCGGGAAATAGCCGAGATACACCTACTAGGACTACCCTTAGTTTGCAAGTCTTCTTCTGGTATGCGTTTTTTTGGCTTTATGATGTATCATTTACATGTATTTTTTGACGCATGGAGAAAGCCTAACACGAAGATATCTCAATATAGTGAGGAAAGGCTCAAGAGGATTATCACAACTCCATCTCACGCAAAAGGTATAACACCACACAAAAGACACAAAAATAAACCAAAACACAGAGAGAGATCAAGAATAAGATATAAACCCAGCATCTAAGCCACGATACCCTCATCTCCATGTAGTTTCATCCACCACGCCTCCTTCCCTTCTCCACAAACATGTTCACCATCTAAACTACACCGAACATTAGCTTCCTCCCTCTACCTTAAAAGCTGTTTGTCGACTTACTGAACACAAACCGCCCATCCTCGTTAGCGATTCGCTCAGCGAGATTCACATCCGCACCACAGCACTGTCCCTCAACGTTCAGGAGCTCGGCGCGTAGGATAGGGACGTTGGCGCCGCCTTCGATGGAGAAGGACATACTTTGGATGGAGTTGGAGAAGCCTTGGCCGGTCCATTCGAAGCGGCCTGGTTGGAGAAAGTATTTGTTAGCTTGGAGTGTTCGTAGGGGAGATGGAGGAGAAGGAGTGCACGAGGATGAAAAGAAGGAAAGGGACAAGGGAGTCTTACCATCGTTGTTTGCAAGACAGGTGTTGAGATCCATCTCAGCATCTACCCAGTCGCCGTTGTTGTTCTGGAGACGGGCGCGGAGGATGTGGCTATCATCGACACGGATGTCCTGGGCGGTGTTGTGGAAAGACATTTTTGAGAAGTTGATTTTTTGGTTTGGTTTGGTTGAAAGGAGTTTTTCAGGTGGGCTTGTGAAGGAAGTCTTGGATGGTGGTATTTGGTAGGTGTTATATATACTTCCCTCTCTCAAACCACCCAGACTCCACTCAACAAACCTACAACAACACAGCCTGCATCGATCCAGAATTCCAAATCATACATACACCTCCTATCCAATATCATAGCTATGTCACGCCTTAGTCCCAGAAGCGGAGTGGAGACCCGTCAACAAAATAGTTGGCAAGCAAATGGGTGAGTGGCAGCTGCCGCTGCTAAGCGAGTCATTGAACTACTACGAGCCAATGTGTACAGCGAAGTAGCAATTCCGCATCCAAGTTTCAGCACGCGCTAGAACTTTCTACATGCTCGTAGAAGCTTCTTGACGGACGATAACTTGGTGGTTTCGTTTCTGCGAGGCGATGGGGATGATGTGCTGTATTATGGAGAAGTGAACCCACCATGTGGATTTTTGGTGTCTTGGCGGGGGTTCTTTTTGGACCAATGGGCGGGTTCTTGGAGTTGCTTGTTCGAAGGTTTTATGGAGAGGATTGTGTGCCAATTATGTTTTGTCCTTGAGCTGTGGAACCATTGGGGATACGGGGCGAATGAGGGGACGAGGTAAGTCGGTGAGGGGGTTTGTTTTGGTTGGGGACGACTTGACTTGACTTCATCAAAGTTTCCAAAGCTTTTGACGGCCGCGAAATAGCAAAGGATTTGCTTTCACTTCATGTGAAATATGATTCAACTCCCACCGGTTGATATATTCAAAGTTAATCTTCTTCAATACTGGTAGTAATAAGTCCTCCTTGTCCCATCAATAAGATCAATCGCATTCTGCCGTCCCAACGCCTCCATATCCAACTTCGCCTTATTAGCATTCACGGCATTTACCGCCTTCCTTCTCGCCGCCTCACTCATGACAGCAACACTACGTTTGAGTTCCTCTGGCGGAGTAGCAGGCCACACATCCCGTGGAATATCACCCAATTCTCTCCTTACTCCATAATGTCTTAGTATCATATTCATACGCTGCCAACCCAGTGGGGTTTCATCAGAAAACAACTCAATGAATGTGATATCTATAAAGCCACGAGAGGTAATCATTGGCATCAGCCCCCCAGATATGGGGGGCAGTTGGGAAACTGGTGCGATGTTTCGAGTTTGTAGTTTGAATTCTATGCCGAAGGATTCGTAGGTGGAGCGGAGTTCGTAGTCTGCTAGGTCTTCGCCGTTGTAGACATGTGGACGTGCTACACAGAATTTCTTCCCTGAGATTATTTGTTAGTTGTTCATACATAGTAAGGATTGGTAGACACTTACAAACGTCTTCTTCTCTCTTATATTGCTGCACGTCTAGGAACGCAGAGTATTGCTCTGGACTGAGAACTCCGGCTCTGTTGACATCGACACGTTTGAATACTTCTGTCAGACAAGACTCCAGAAATGGAGTTGGCTTTCCGGAAACTTGTAAAGTTTGCCATTGAGTCGGGGGGTTCATCCCTGAGTTTGTGCTCTGTTGAGGATTATATTGAGCTGGTGGCTGTCCTGGGGTTATGGCTGGCTGCGGATTGTATTGCTGTGGAGTTGGGCCTGTAGGAAGTTGCTGTGCGTTATACTGTGGGGGAGTTGGCTGGGGGGCGTATATTGGTGTTGAATTATATCTGCTCTGAGGAGAGAAGGTAGGAGTTGACGATGCTTGTGCAGGAGCGTTGTTGTTATTTGGGGTAGAATAAGCAGAAGAATAGTTTAGAACAGGCTGGGAGCTTGGAGGAGGTGGAGGAGGGGCATTTTGGTAGTTTAATGCGGGAGATGCGTAATTTGACGTAGAATTTGGCTGGTGATTTTGTTGGAATTGAGGACTTTGATAAGAAGCAAGCTGAGGGGAGGGAATTGGCTGCTGTGTAGAAACTGGTGGAGGACCTTGGTGGTATGGCAAAGCTGTCTGTGATTCTGGTCTTGGAGGAAGGGAAGGTGGTGCGTTTAGAGTTCTTCTTCTTGCATATGGATTTGCAATGGGTATTGATGGATGCTTCAACTCGTTCAAAGCAGCGATATCATGTCCTGAAGTGACGATAAGAGAGGTTTCGTGAGAAAGCTGGTGAGCGTGTGAAACATTGCCAACCATAAAACAATTTGTACACAAGTCATATGGCAGAGAGCAGTTTCGACATCGTAATCGGGCTTTGGTCTCTGGAATACTTTCAGAGCACGCACCGCACCGAAATAGTGACATCTCTGTCGAAATTGAAGCTTTGAAGACAAGTGGTCGAAGAGGATGCAATGAACTGGTCAGAAGACATTCTGGCGAAGTATTGATTTCCTTTTTGTCAACCTTGAGCTGCAGACCTCAGCCGCAACACCCGATTCGGTAGGAAAGACATCGTGTGATTGGTATGAAGCCATAGAAATGAGACAGATCTCGTTATTGCAAGGACGAAAATAGCGTATATTCAAGGAGGAAGCACTATAATAGAAAACAAGAAGGGAAGCGAAAGGTCCAGTAGCCGAGAACGAAAGGGGTACATGGACCATTGGCACAAGGGGAGACAATCTCGAGACAGTATTCGATCCATCGGTTCCGTGTCTTCTTTCTACCAGGCCATGTATGATACGAACTACAGTATGAGTCTTCTCAACTATACAAAGACACTTGACTGAATCAAACTGTTGGTGTTGTCGTCAATGAAGGAATGGGGCAGGTTCGGAGGCTCCCCTGGAAGAATAGGGTGGGGTAGGGGTGCCCGACGTCACGACCTGGAGCTGGCTGGGGAGCTCAAAATCTACGCCTGAAATCACGAGAGCCGGAGCTGCAGCTATCGCAACATCTCAACACCATTCAGCTCAATCACAACCGCATCTTCTGCAACCGCTTTCTCCTCTCCCATACAGTCACATCTGACATTAAGCTACTTCAATCCACCTAAAAATCACGATCGCACATTCTCACTCCACCGCAATGCCTCGCGCAAAAAGACCACTCTCCGAGCTCGACCCAAACGCGTCAAAATCTACTGCCCGCCCGGCGAAACATGCAAAGATTACAGACGAGAGAGAAGACTACTCGAAGTTGAAAAAGGCGGAACTGGTCCAATTGGCTCGAGATAGGAATCTGCCATGTGGTGGTAACAAGGATGACCTCAAACAGCGACTACAAGATTGTGATGATAAGGAGAACGATGAAGAGGATGATGAGGAAGAAGACGAAGAGGATGAAGTGAACGAAGAGGAAGAGCAACAAGAGTTGGCAAAAACAGGGGATTTTTTCAACCAACCGATCGATTACACCACGAAAGACAATAGCAAACTACGCTTCCTCCTCTCTGATCGCGAATATTTTCCTGGCGCATTACTGAGAGACGGTATGACCTGCGAAGAAATGATCGCTCTCCTTCAACGCACACCCGCGAACTACGAATCCTTCACCATAGAAGAAATTTCTGAGAAGCTGAAAGCTCGGGGCCTAAGACATGCTAGCGATTGCGCGAAACAAGTCAAGATTGACAGATTGAAACTCAACGATTTGGTAGATCGCAATACAGCAGATTACAAAGACACGCAACTCTATGTGAGCCTCGATGTTTTCAATATGATGATAGCAAGCGACATAAAGAAACAAGAAGAAGCGAAAAACACCAATCCGTTTTCTTCTTGGAGTATAAAACGGTTACAGAAATATCTTACCACCAATAAACTGTCTCCAAATGGGAGCAAGGAGGTACTCACAAAACGGGCAGCGAAACACGATGAGAAAGAAATGAGCAAAAAAATAAAAGGACTCCAAGTAAAACGAGACTCAGCCATAATCAAACTCGAAGCCAGTATCGGCCACCCACTAGAGTCTTTTACCATCTTCAATGGAAGGGAAAGTCAGTACGAAGGTCTAGACCACCAAATATTATCAAAGGGTAAAAAGCCAGCACAGTCCAAGAAACCCGTCTGCAATTATGACTGGAGCGGTTCTCACTGGGCCTCGAGAACAGAGCGAGAGATCCAAAAGATATGCGAGAGGAGGGGTATGCCAGGGAGGGGTGCGGCCCCGAAAGCTGCGCAGTTGAAGTGGCTTGATACTGGGGTTGTTGAGTATGCTGATTTTTATGTCGCGGGCTTGACGATCATGTGTGAGGAGAGGGGGATTAAACATAAGTATGAGCCGAAGAAAGTGGATCTTATTGCGTTACTGGAGGAAGACGATGAGCGGGAGTGAGGGATTGCATATGATTTGGTCTTTCACTTTGATCATCTCTCTTTCAGATTGCTGTCTTTTTGGATTTTAGGAGCGATGGCGTATGGCTTTTTGAAGGGGGTCCGCTGGATTTGATACCCATATATTTGTTGTTACATCGTCAGGCAATTGTCTTGAGGAAACAGGTTGTTTTGTGGAAATGTTTTTAGATACCACTCATTTTCTTAAATAAAACAACAATTACCTCCCTCGTATCTATTTTAATGTCTTCAAATACCTTTAGACTGTTGACCGTCCTATCCAAAATAGCCATGTTATCTAATCCAAAGTACATTCAAACCCCTATCAAATAGATTCACAAGTATCTTTCTCTTCTTACCAATCGCCATACAGGGAATATCATGCTAATCCGAACAAGTAATCTATCCATTCTTCTCGAACTATCGGGGTAGGTTTTCGATCTCGAGGTGAACTACCTGGCTTCTTCTAGGATAGAAGAACAAGGAGAGATGTTCTTACAGTGTTAAGGAAAGGAGAGTTTGGTCCAATCAGTTAGATTCCAATGAACGAGGGGATCTGATTAGTTGATTGGTTGACTGTCCAGATGCACTTATGTGATTATTTTTTAATGTATATTAGAATTGAGATTGGTTGTATTACTTGCTAGCGCTACTACTTCAATAATAACCGAAAACATAAACCTTTAAGCGAGGCCAAAAGGGTTAGAGATTCGTCTGCCATCTACATTACCTCATCCCACAACAGGAAACTTGCAAGCTTATCGTCATCAAGAAGTGAAGTTTACCTCTTCGGGATCCACAGCACTTTAGCCAAGTACCGCAACTAATGATCCTTCTCTAGGCCGAGTTAATAGACTTCCTCTTACTAAAAACCCTAGTTCTCCCTAGTTAATTGCTGTAATTTATTTCCTACCGACGTACCTACCTGCTAGTGCTACTGTGGAAATACGATTATTGAGTGAATATACTCGATGAGAGGTAATAACACGTGCTAGCTAGCTATGCTTAATCGAGCGGAGCTAGCGTCTTTGCTCTGCTACATAACAGTGTATACCTATAGCCTTTACTCGGTATACACATCTGATAGTCGAATACGATACTGTTATCTTTACGTTAACTTTGTCTAGACTATTAAAGAGTCAGACCAACGGTTACTTATGAAACGGGCAATGGAAATGGGAGGAGTTCTAAAGATCAAGATGTTGGGATTCGAGGATTTCCTCGTATGAGAGGCCTTGCAAGTACTGATAGTTGCAGTGCTGTATGTGGAAGATTTGAAATTAGGGGTGTTTATGTACTGTAAGATCTTACGCCGAGTGGGGTGCTTACTATTTCTTCTTTTAATTGCGATATCTAGTGAATGTGGTGTTTTGTTGGTAGATGACTCGAGGAGGAAATGTTTTCCCTATCCGTACTTAGACCCCTGTTTCCCTTGACTTTATTTGGTTTCTTTAACAATCTTTTTCTACGGACTAACTATAAATGATCATAATACCCGAATAAATGATATCGATGTTTCTAGATGCAATTTTAAACACAAGTTTTGTAGTACAATATACCGCACTCTTTTCTAAACTCTATCTCAAACCAAAATTGACCCCATGCCACACGAGTTAATCAAAGCAGTCCAGTCTCGTATTAAACAGCTTGTAGTTTCCCAAGATCCACAAGACTTATAAAGGAAGAAATAAACCACCCCAATCTGATTAAGATAAATGTAGTCTCAACGAAACACCGTACTTTTATTCCATATCACTCTTTTACTTCTCCTCGCCTCCCTCATAGCCACCCTCCCACGCCTCTGCTGCAGCAGCCGCGGTGTCAAGCGCCTCTTCAACATCTATTCATGCCTCCAAGTTCCCCTAGTGCGTTCCACATGGCTGCCCCCCGGCACAAGTCACCTCATATTCACAAGGGTGACCACCACGACAAGTTCGTCCCGGGTAGGGAGGTCCATTCTGGGCACCTCTTCCCTGGGCGCTTGGTCTAACCTCAATAATAGCATCGGAAGATGGGGTAGGAGAAGCAGTAGGTGTTAGAGGAGGCTCCAATTCAGGAAGAGTCTCTTCTGGAGTCACTATCCCACCGGTTCTTCCCATCCGTGGAGGCGAAGAAGTGATAGACTCTGGATCTTCTACAGTATTATCCCAATCACTCTCTTCGCCTGCTGTAGGCCCCATAACTCGTCCCTGGCGCGGCGGTTCTTCAGGGTCGTCTTCTGGAGTCCCTGCAGGTGGAATGTCCCATCTATTGCCATCTCTTGCCCCGGAGCCACTGACTCGACCTCCTCTGCCTTGTCTTCTACCTCCCCTTCCCTGGCTTCCTCCTCCTCTTCCGTAACTCCCAGAATGGGATCCGCCGTAATGGGATCCACCATAGTGAGATCCGACATGATGGGATACGCTGTGTCTTCCGCCTTCCTCTCCTGAAGTAAGCGAATCCCCAAGATCAAAAAGGTCCGAGTCCGAAAAAAAGTTTTTGAATGGATGCTTTTTCCCTTTCCCAATCCCAAAACTGCCCTCGAGGTCACCACCGAAGTAACCCTCGAAACCTGCCTTCTCGCTTCGTTTGGGAATAGTGGATGCAATGACGCTGGAAGTCAGAGTGAGAGTTAGAGCGGTGATGGGTTGAAATTTCATTTTGGAGAATATTTTAGACAAGAATTAATTTTGCTTGTTGGATTTTTGAAGGAATGTGTAGATTGGTCAAAAAATGAATGTAACGAGCGAAGTGAAAGGAATGCTTGGTCTTGGTAAGTTGAGGGGAAAGTTTCCTGTTCATATAGCACTAATAGATTGCATTCCACATTTAGCCACTGAACGCATTGATGTAAACATGAGAAAACGGACTTCAATTCCGTGTCAATCACTTCGAACTTTTGGTAAACAACATTCCAGAACAACGAAATTGACCTCGACATCTGACCTGATTGATGCGGGATCTAAATCCGGTTTATCAATCCTCATTGATTCACGAGTAAACAAGGAAGCGAAACAGAAAGTCATTATGTATACAAAGGCCCAATCTCGTTTCAGAGCGAGTACGAGTAATGATACTTGAATTAATAGAAAGAGAAAAAAGCCTTCCATTCCAAAAACATCTCTCCCCCATCCTGTCCATTCCTCCTCTGCTTCTCCAGCTTATCCACCACTGTCGCTTTCCTACATTCTCTCACTCATCATCGTCTCCGTCTTCATAATCGTCTACGTCGTCATCATCGTCATCGTCACCTCCTCCAGACGCTGGCTCTTCTTCGTCTCCATTTCCTTGCACTTCCACGTCTTCATCTGCTGGGACTTCTTCTGGGGCTGGTCCATCCATAGATTGAACTTGTGTATCGTCAAGCTCTTCCTCGACCTCCCCTCCTTCTCCTTCCTCTTCTCCACCATCATCAGGCTCTTGTCTTCTGCCTAGCCCGAATTGGCCAGCTAGTCCAGCTGCGCCATCAAACTGTATCCCTTCATCATCTTCTGGTGCGTACTCCGTATATGCATCGGCTTCGTGATCCGAATATGCATCCGCGGTTCCATACGTAGCAACGTCCGGCTCGTCGTCAAGCAGGTTTTCCAAAAAGAGAGATCCATGAGTATTGGCATCTCCATTCCCACCAAAACCAAGGGGAAAGGTCTTGCCAGACTTGGGAAGGAAAGTAAGGTGTTCTCGTTTGGCGGGGAGGACAGCAGCAATGGCAGTAGAAGTGAGGGCAAGGGAAAGGACAGTGGTAAGTTGGAACTTCATCATGAAGTTGATGATTGTTGTTTTGTTGGATGTTAAAAGAATGACTGGGAATGAATTATTGATCTCTTAGCTGAAGGCTTCTTATAAAAAAGAATTTAAGCTCTAGATAACGCCTTTACATAGCACTCCTAGATTAAATTCCAGAACCCCAAGCGCGCTCGCGTGTTCTCCTATTAACTTATCCCCATTCCAGACCATGTAAGCCACAAGACTTCCAAATTCCAGTCTAACAGTCCAGAATACATTCCCACGTGGATTTCCCACATGTTCTCCCCATCCCTTGGTGAAATTGCTCGTAGGGTAATGAGTCAACGATGACTGCCATGCTCTGAGCTGTGTTTCAAAAGCTTTTGAAAGACGCTGGAGGAGATTGGGTCTGATTCGTTCCGGCGATTTCCGTAGAAAGTGGATGAGTTCTAGATAGCCCAGATTGTCAAATAAAGCGATTGCAGTAGATATCCCCAGTTATCCAGGTCTTCACGAAAATACTCTCGTAACAAAAGTTTTCAAGAGAGCTTTGAAGGGCAACGATGAGACAGATTGTTCTTATGCAAAATATATTGAACTTTTGGATTGAGGATAGGTTTTTAAAAGAGCTATTTCTTGCAGCCAACTCCAATTTCTCCATTATTTCATCACATTCTCCATCCATGGATACACAGACCCATTTGCCAAAGGATAACCCATATGTAGAGCGTCCTTGAAAAACCTAGTTCCGGAAAAATCAGCGGCTTTTCCAAAATCCAACTGGGTACAGCATGAGGCTTAGCAGCATACCTAGCTTCTTTGGGAGTTCCGTATTCAAAAGGTAACATCGAATCTTCAATCGGCATCAGCCCATCATTCATTCCCTAATCGACGATAATTAGCGAGTATCCCTAAACTCAAATTTGGATAACTTACATTGATAAATAACAACCTCGTCGAAGGTTTTTCCAAGATCCGGTTCTCAAGCAAAGAATATTTCTTGACCGCTTCATCCATGTAGGTTTCGAAGCTTTCATAACCATGTTTGAGCGAAATCGCCGGGCCAAGTCTAGAATGATCAGCTCTATATCATCCAACGCCCGGACAAAACTTACGCAAAAGGATATTCATGACCATCAGCCTTCTCGAGCCATTCTCTGGTAAAGAAATAATGTGTTCCAGCCCCCTGAGCTACAACACCTCTCAATTGATCTTTGTGAGTATGAGCAATTCTTGCTGCATAATAACCACCTGTACTTAGTCCCCACACCATAACCCGTTCCATATCAAAACAACCTTGCTCTGTCGTCCATCTGAGAAGACTGGTCCAGAGTCTATCAGTGCTTTCAGGATCACTTGGATCGGCTGGACAATCTGCTGTTCCAGGAACTTCAACCATGATGGTACTCCATCCACGCTTTAGGAACTCGTCACTACGCTGTGTATTGTCTGGGCGATAACCGTCGAGGCCTGTGAAGAGAAGGACGACAGGGGGTTTCTTATTTTTTGACTTTTTGGTGGAGAGCCGCATGTATACCGGAATGATATCTCTATCTGCACCTGTTTTATCCACGAAAGGGCTATAAAGATGAGATTCTGTGCCAAACAAGGAGCTAGGATTGATCTTACATATCGACCTCTTGAACGGGTTCATCCCACTGACTTCCAGCTTTCATATACACTTCCTTCTGTGCAGTCCAAGCCTTCCATTTCACCTCGGAATTCACCTTGGGAAAGGAAGTGATATAAGGAAATCTCGAAATGCGATATAAACAAGCAGCTCTCAAGTAAAGTGCAGAAGCCGCTTCAAGGTTCTTGTAAGCTGCCAATTCGTCACCTTGTTGGGTCAATTTCTCGGCCATAGGAAAGAACGCTTCGGTATACGCGTCTCCGTAGCCATCGTTGATGTTGTTCTATGGAAGCTGTCAGCCTTTTGATATTTAGCTAGGAATGAAATCAAGCTTACTTCTATGAGGTGCTGAAAAACGGGTTCGAAATCTTCGAATTTCCCGTCGTGGAAAGGATAAACACTTTTGGTGCACTTTTCATGTCAATTAGTGCCTATATCCCTTGCGGAATCTTCTTGTTGGACCAACTCACAGGAAATTTCCATTTTGTCTCCCATCTGCAAGAAAGTTAGTATCATGTGTCGTCCTGATCAAAACAGAATACCATCAAAGAAAAGGGGGATTTGGTTGAAGTAAGTGAAAATGGGTGTATATAATACAATTCCTTGATTCCATTATGATGTGGCATTCGCGCGTCAAATTTCTCACCAAGTATCCAACCATTTTTGCCCGAGGCATTACTACGATGAGGCGTCGAGTTCTCTATGCTCCCCATGTTTGCGTATCTTCAACGGTTTGTCTTGGTTTCGTACTTTTACTGCAGACGAAAAGGTTTCAGCCACAAGCAACAATATTTGAAAATGAGAAACCCAAATGGTGAACATGAAAAATTACTTTTTCGTGAATTTTAATAGCAGTAGAAGAAGCGGATGTCCGTATTTGCTCGGACTCAGCTTGGGGTTGATGCGAAGGATCAGAGGCGGGGGAGGAGTCCCGTCCAATCAGATTTCATGAATCGATATAGCCTCAAAAGTAGTACCATTTAACCTACCACGGCACGTGCATGGATGCACACGGCCTTAATTAGTGATGCGGCAAACAATACTCCTTCGATATGCTACAGTTCCCAAGGTGTATTTTCAGATGAAGAGCGGGATTGTTTTATTTCAGTAAGACCTAGACTCTATGAGACCCACTATTTAGCGAAAACCTCCAATCAAAAGACTGAATTGTAGGAAAATAGATATTCTGTATATTCAGTCGGGATTCCAGAAATTGGTCCATTTAAACCTTTTCCGGAAACCAAACAAGGGGGACTGTAAGTACTGTAGGTTGCAATGCATATAAGCAAATCTCGGTCGAATTTCCAGACGACCAAAAAGGTGCTCTTAAACGAATTCGCGACAAATGGTCTCTCAAGATTACCTGAGTACTTTATAGGTTTGCGCTGCGAGGTATCAAAGCCCCTCATCTCGGTCAATTTAGCTGTTCTCGACTCTAGATCCGAGCCAATTATTGCTCCCAAGACGAGGATAATGGACGAAACTAGGTAGGCACTCTGTACAAGTAAAATTCGGATTTTGATGAAAAGTCATAAATAGAGTTGGGAGGAAGTCTGTGCGAATTAGAAGGACAAACGCTCTTAGGGGCGGAAAAAATGAGCGTATTTCGTCCCCTATAAAGCCTCTCTTTTTTCAATATCGTAGTGTTACAGTAAAATATAACAATAAGACAAAAGAGTTCGAAGAAAATCCGAGATAATGATTTAACTCAATTTCGAGTTAGCTAGTGGTTTTTCATAATATTTCATGCTTTGCGTAGCGTCCATAATCAGTTTTTTGATACTACGGTAGGGGCGCAGAGAGGAAATACGGTCGGTTTTCCAGCCTCTTAGGAGATACGGATACGAGAACAAGCGGTTGGATTTTCCTATATTGTATTATTTGTCGGATGGTCAGACCTGAATTCTACAGGGTATTTTGTAGTCTCATACTGTAAGCCAGCGCTGTGTCCTTCGGGACTGGGTGATTCAGTGGAGCAACAATTGACAGTTTATCCAAAACAATTTTTGGTATTCTGCTGTATACTCTGTGCCTTTGACGGTATCCTTTGCGTTGCTTCGGAAAATGTGTATTTTCAGACGAAGAGCGGGGTATGTTTTATTAAGACATCCGGCTCTCTGAGACCCGCTGTATAGCGGGAACTTTCAATTACTACCGAAGACGACAACACTGCTACTAAATCAACCTTATATACTGTACTGTATCCAAGCTGGATTTCCAAAGTTTCTCTAGTCACTTTAAGCCTTTCCTGGATACAGCGCGGAAGAGCCCGTACCGAATCGCGAGAGCCACTCCAAGTGTAATTTTGGAGCCCAAGGGATTGAGAGGTGGTGGTCTAATGCTGTGAGGAGCTTAGCCATAGTGATCTTCTAAAATGGTGGCTCAAACAGGACATCCATAAGTGGTTAGAGTTGGCTGAAAGGGCACTATCTCTCACCAACCCCTTCTCGGCATCCAACTCGACATGGAATTTCCTTTCGACATGAGAGAGGTTCTGGTGCCAAAAAACAGTGGCAAAAATAGTGTTAAGGTTATACCAAGAAGTGGACAAAATCAGAGCGATATCTGACCATATTCCTGCAAAACACGTCGCCACTATTCGAAGTTTATCCACGAAATAACAGTGAAAAATCCACTTTGCAGTCCTCAATTGAGCCTAGTTCGAGCGGTATAAGCCTTCGTATTCCTCGTATTTGTTTTTGCATTAGAAACCGTCCATGCGTACACTTTATTCGTTATTATTTCTTCACTATTAAAGGCCTCCAGAACCCCTCGATAAATAATAAGCCTCATTATCTATACGCTAATAAACCTTATCACTATTATTATTTTTCGGCGCCAGAACCTCTCTATTCGTAAACTCTACAATACCAATGCCATGGACATGCCATGCACAGCCCAAAACTACAGGAACTCCACCAAAACATCTGCGCCGAAGCCAGAGGCTGAATGAATGTGATTTTAGCCAACAGCCTCTACCACGCCTCCTAATCCATACATCCAAGTTTCGCGCTCCTACCCCTTTTCAGACGTCATCGACTACCCACAGCCACTTTACAGTCGAATATTGGATAGGCCTCGACAAATAGAGAAAGGGATACATACCGGATACTTGCTTCGATGTATAAGGATGGCACGTTCTACGACGGGGGATTCCCAGGTATTGTGAACCGCCTAAAGAACTGGAAACCTTCGTCTGTGGGATGCGGAGGCCAATGAACTTCATTCCCGTCTTAACCGGTATAGCATCGTCGATCAGTTGTGGGTCGCAGTTTGAGGATTATTGAAACCAGTATTGATACTCGCTACTTTTCTCATCGTCCTTGACTATCTGGAAATAGAGAATGACTACCACAAAACAACTGCAACCCTTCTACAGTAGAAGAACACAACTAAGTGGAAACATGCTTCAAGTCCTAGATGATACAGCCTCGGAGTGTTCTCAATACCTAGCTTGGTTCCATGTTCCTAAGAGCATTTTTACTATGTTCACAAGTTCAGGTTATCAAATTTCTTAGATCACTTGTGATTGTAATTAATCTGACCTTTCAATACAAAACATTATTCTGAGTGCATCCCAGTCCTCCGAGACGCCATTTCATCTCTTTTGTTCCCCTCCAACCAATCTGTTTAGAGTTGACAGTTTATGTACATTCATGGGATATCATATTCTTGGATCCGGGTTGCTTTTGGAGGCAACATTCAGTCTTCCACAATCGCGGGCCTGGTCCTTCTCTGCATGCTCGAGAGTGTAGATACCTACAGCCGATCATCCTTGACCAGGGCTGAGCTCTCTTGTTGCGGTGTTTTGTATTTGTACAATTTTGGCCCCTTCTTCCCTGCCAGTGGTTGATCCCTGACTACTGTTTTTTCTCAAGGGAGTTTCAATGCTCGCTCGCTCGCTCAAATGAAATGAAGAAGGGGAAAAAATAAAAATAAAACAGCTTTACCATTCCCGTGGCTGTTGTGGCGGTCTATCTTCTGGGGCCATAGATTTTGACGATTTCGCATATCGACTTTGCGCCCTGCTTTCCCGATATTCTCTCTCCGTTGGCGCATACTCGTATTCCCTCATGACTGGCTTTCCCTCCGCTGGGGAAATGTAAGGCTCTAATCCAGACAGCGTGTAGAGTCTCAATCCACCCGGTGGTGGTGGTGGTCTTGTGGATCTATGGGAGTTGCTTCTCGAATATGGGCTGATGATCGGTGACCCGTATCGTGATTCCCTTCTCGGGCCCCATGCACGAAGTTGTTTTTCGAGGTCATTCTGTTTTTCTATCAAGGGTGCTAGGTCGTCATCGGGGGATTTATCTTGGTGTCCGTTGACCTTTTCATACTCCAAAAACTTCAGGATTTTGTACAAGCCGGCTGCTAGAAGTGCTCCTGCGAAAGGACCAAACCCTGGATCCAAATGTTAGCAGTTTTCCTACAAACGCTGTGTCATTACTACATACAGTAAATCCACTCATATGAGGGGAATGATGCCTCCACTACCGCGGGGCCAAATGCTCGTGCTGGATTCATGCTCGCGCCTGTCCAGAAAATTGCCATTGTGTGGCAAACAAAGAGTGCCAGTCCAATGGCAAAAGGTGCGATGAAGGTTCCTTTTGTTTTCTAAAGGTCGTTAGATTAGATAACAAGAAACCATTGAAGCTACATACCTCAACTGCAACCATTAGGATGGTAATAATGAGTAAGAAGGTCGCGAGCAGCTCTATGAAGAAGCCTTGCACATCAGAAATTCCCCCACCCAGACTCACTGCAAAGTGAATGACTTTTGCTGGACTCGGTAACATAAGCTTGATGGTAATTGCAGCCAACATGCCACCACTTAATTGGGCAGCAACCGCACATATCGCTCTGCGTTTACATTAGCATTACCTCCACAACCATGGGACAAAATAGTCTTACGTTATGATATCCGTTCCACCAAGAACAATCACTGCTAACGTTACAGCCGGATTGAACGCCGCTCCACTCACTCGAAGGAAGATCCACACGTTCGTTGCGAGACTGAGCGCAAAGGCGAAGGATATATACAGAAATCGAGAGGCATCTGGACCAGCGACGGTGGCATTCGTCGACGAAGGTAGATTTACTGTCTGGGCAGCGCCAAAACCAAATAATAGAAAGAGGAAGGTTCCAACGAATTCTCCGATTGTTGATACCAGCAGGTTTCTAGCGAATTTCGGGATAGCCATATTCAGGCTGACCACCTAGCTCTGGAGGATGTATATGCGGTATTCGAGGGGTTTGCCGGAATAAACGCGCGCGTGTATGCAAGGCAGTCGACTATACCAAAAGTATGGGACTTCTGAATGTGGATTAGCTGGTTATAGTCAATAGAACTGAAATGGGCGATATCATGTTTGTCAAGGAGTGCTGTTTGGCAAGAATGTGGAAATTTTGTGTCTTATGGTCTATTTTGAATGTTATCTACTTTTGAGAACCAGACTACGTCGTCTCATACTTTGCATAAGAATGATGTAGAGGCTCGAGAGCAGACATGCTTCGGATTGAAACGAGACAGAAGAGGTAAATTGTGAGATTCCATGTTATAGTCGAGTTCGGAACCTTCCCTGGATTGATGGAGCAAACGTTGAACTCAAACGCCTTCGGCGGGAGGAACTTGTAGTCCGCATTAGGAAGGTCGTTGAAGGTGTTGGAAGAGCTCAGATTATTCCAGGGTGGGCCCTGTTTAGTATCTCAGCGTAGCCCTACCTTTTCATTGGGCATTGCCCTTTTCTTGGCTGCAGTTCGGGTAGGTTTCAAGCTCGTTGAAGGTGTTGGAAGAGCTCAGATTATTCCAGGGTGGGCCCTGTTTAGTATCTCAGCGTAGCCCTACCTTTTCATTGGGCATTGCCCTTTTCTTGGCTGCAGTTCGGGTAGGTTTCAAGCTCGTTGAAGGTGTTGGAAGAGCTCAGATTATTCCAGGGTGGGCCCTGTTTAGTATCTCAGCGTAGCCCTACCTTTTCATTGGGCATTGCCCTTTTCTTGGCTGCAGTTCGGGTAGGTTTCAAGCTCGTTAGGGTGGTGAAGTTTAGCTCGACCATGCGAATTAGTTCAAGCGAGGTGGAAATACTCGGACGATTTCCCCCCCTGCCGAAGATACTAAACCAAACAATACGAAATCGAAGTTAAGAGCAATACACATTAGCACAGAATATTGTATACTTGGATAACTTTCTTTTCCATAGTTTTTGCAATCACATCTGGAGGCTGAATAGTTACGCGAGGCATTACATAGTCCGCCGAGGCAAAAACGCCCGCGTATTTCTACCCCTTTTGTACTGGTAGAGATGGGATGAGAGCTGATCAACAGTTAATTTTCTTACATCACTCGCAGGCTATAGGATGGTATACCCCTTGCTGTATATGCTGTAAGTTCGCCTCCACCTCCTGTATCTGGTTCCGATGGATTTCATCTCTCTGCTTCTGGCTCTCGATCCTATTGGTTTCCTCGATCCCTGAGATACAGTACATCGGGTTGTTGACCCAACAACCGACAAGCATCAGCCAGTGAAAGTTCGGAGGTTCTAGACCGCAGGAAAAGTATACGAAATCGCGAGATCTGATGTCAGGGCGAGGACACTGGACAACATGGCCTTTAAAGTACCAGCTTTTATATCAATCCTATACTCTCAACGCTTGAGATATATCGCAGTATTGTCATAGCGCAATTCCTTCCAAGCCTCCTCACATCCAAGTATCTGATGAGCTTCTCGGGCCTCAAAAGCCCAAAAGATTGAGAGATTCAGCTGGAATTGATAATCAAAAGCATATCTGAAAAGAATACTTATCGAAATCTTGAGTAGCTGATTCCACCAAATTGTCGTCAACCGACGTCACAAAGTGGACAGTACTCAATATTATTCAAGGCCAGTCCTTGAAGTCCTTAGCAATCGGAGACGTTTAGACCTCCGAAAATACAGGTGACTCTATCCCAACAAGCATTGCCAGTAAGTTACCGCCATTACAACGTAAACTTTTCGCCTTCGATTCTTCGCGCCAAGTCTTCTATATCCTTGTGATTTCATTTGATGCATCTTTCGGTCACCATCTACTCGTATCTTCTTATGTTAGTAGTTGAAAGCCAGAGGCCACTGCTTATCATCCATGATTTCGCTTGCTTGAATCCATTGGCGTCTCCTTACCAGTTGATATCTCACTAGTTGCCTCGACAATTGATGTTTCCTTTGCAGGAGATTACCGTTTCGATTCATGAAACTAACTAAGCCAAAGAAGAAGCAGGTACGGCATTGGGACTGGACCTGAGAATAATTCCCGGTTACTGCAACAATTTCGCCCTTTTTCCGTGCAGTAATGCAAATCCCTTGGGATGAACTTAACGCTATGAAGAAAGTTGCAATTCTTCAAGGCATCAATAACTTGTGCCTATTTTGAATTGTGCCATGCTTTGCGATGCTAGAATAGGTAATGTGATGCGGTAGGATGGTTTGCTACTGTAGTCTCCAAGAGCCACGCAAGTTCCAAGAGGCTTCAGCAAATATTAGAGATCGAGAAATTCCTACACTTGAAATGACATAGGCTTAGCTATCCTGTCATACTATCGACAACGTCACTTTAGCATTTTCGAATGTACAGTGGTTTAACTTTATTATACGACACAAGAAAATTAAATTGCACCTCTTTACTTAAAACCACATCGCCACGCCCCCACATGCCGTCAGCGGCAAGTTAAGCTTGAATATCCGGCTGCAATCTGGGCTTTATCCCCTTTTTATCTTCTCTTACAATAACGACAGAAGGTTGAGGTGCTTTGAATAGGAAAGAATCACTATACGAAGTAACTTCACCAACCTCTTCGCCCTATGCTCAAGGCCTTGGCATTGTTTTAGTGGCACATTCCAGGATTTCGGCTCATTGAAACATTCCACACCAGGTCCTCCATGGACTGAAACCACCCAGCCAGAATCTAGGCGTTCCAGAGCCAGAAAAAAACTTGGGTACTATGCAGGAGTCATGTCAAGATAAGTTTGGAATTTGAGCGTGTTCAGATGAATTTTGAAGGTTTTCGCAAATTCCAATGAGGTTTTCAGCTTCTTTCTTTAGGGTTAACCATTAGGTGAATACTGTATGTATTTTGGCGTTGCAAGTTACATGTGACCTTTTAAGAGAGGACCAGCTATATGAGAACAAGCAATTGCTTATCGCCTAGCTAGACTTTTACTCAAAGACTATTTCCTTATCAGAAACTACTTATAGAGCCTATTTATAATACTTTCAATAATTAGTCCATGTGAAAGCCACGTTGTCTGGTTCTAATTGTAGCATTCTAGGATCCGCTCTTGAACTACTTATGCTATGTAAACCCTCAACTCCTTGTTTTAATTAATCAGACTATAATAATAGCTATACTATAAGTATCAGGGGTACTAACTATAGCAGTTACTACTATAGTAGTCTGATCTAACAATACGTCTCTGTTACGTCTTAGATAGGTATAGAACAAGTGGGGTAATAAGTATAGATTAAAGAATGAGGAATAGAATGTAGTAAGTAAATAACACAATAATATACAAATCTATATATAGGAATACCATTTGCTCTTTCTTACTTTCTGTTGAAGGAAATGTGGGATGGCAAGAGTGCCAGGACGACTGGAAAGCTACGTACCTAATATCGGTAGGAGCCAGGGTTGTACAGCCCTAGAATAAGCACCTCGTACTTGCAATCCTGTCAAGTGAAACTTTGTTCTATTTGCATATGGTGGAACTAGCCAGGCTTCTTGTTCTGTGTGGTGGAAACTACTGGTCAGAACCTACTAACAAGACTTTCGTAACATTATTTGATTGTTTTTACATCCCTTCCAGACAATTAAGTGCCAAGTAAGTGGATGCGTCACATGGGTTAAAGTGAGGCTCTAATTCTTGGAAACCTAACCTGATTGGCCAAAATGACTTTGCTATCCCTTAATGCCGTATATATACATCAGGGATTTCAACTTTGCGATTTCCGAAATAAGCGAGAACTTCCAAGAACAGCTGCTATTTAAGTATGTCGATATTAAGAAATCATGAATGAGGTGAGTGGTTGGATTTACTGGAAAAATATCCAACTTCCAAATATACTATACAGGGCTCGGGTCGAGTTACTCTTACAACTCAGTTGTACTAACGTTATAATAAGCTTAAGTACTAAGACCAAAAGTCGCGAAATTAAAATCTGTCGCTAGGAATATGGAAGGCTAGGGTGCCAGAAGAGTTGTATTCAGATGACTAGGGAGCTAATTTCTGTAGGTAGAGGTCTTGCTTATATAGCCCTGGCATATATACAGGTTCTATGCGATGGGAACCACTAGTTAGATTAACTAATGATAAATTCCCATCTCCTTCGCAGTACGTGTCCTACTAGGAAGATCTTTGGCCTAATCAGGGGCGCGTAAAGTGGTTTCTAGTAAACCTCATTAAAATATTTCATTTGGTATTATATAGAACTTCTATAAAAGTTAAGAGAAACCCGTATAACCCTAACAATCTCTTATTTAAAACAATACCACATTTAGCTCAAAGTCCTAACCCGGAATTCTTCTGATAAATTTATATAAAAGGCGGCGCATCTAATTCAGGGATTCGCCAAACACGAAAAAACAACTTGGCGGGATAAGGACCTCAACCCAGAAGGAGATACTCAAGTATCCTTCCATTCAACATACAATCAACAACAGCAAGCAAAACCCCTAACTCCTTAACCCTCACTTCAAAAGCTCTCACTCATCAAACCCCCCAAACCTCTGAAAACCTCTGAAAACCTCTGATTCCCTTTTCTACAGCCTACTAAATTATACTCAAATCCTCCACATCCACAACCCATCCCATCACCACTCCACTCCGCCTCCCATCTAGCACTCTTTCCTTTCCTTTCCTTTCCTTTCCACACTCAAACGTCTCTCATTTCCTCACAACCTCGCTATACCCGACTTCCTCTCATCTCATCTCACCTTATCAAAAGTATTTCAACCAACCAACTACTCAAGAAATCTCACATAAACTCTCAAAGTTCGAAAAGTCAACATGGGGATTTTCTTTTATATAATTAAAGATCTTCGATTTTTCGATGGTCATCTATATACCCAGTAGGCCATACCCATACCCATATACCCTCCGAAATCCCATATAGCCATTTTCTTTATCTCCCCCCTCCCCATCCATCTTCCTCCCACATACCCTCTAAATCAGACACCCATTACCTCCCCCGCCCCGATCTCCACCCCCCATTCCTCTCTATGAAAGAAAGAAAACCTATATCCCACACACCCTTCCACCTAAACCCATCCACCATCCCCTCATTGCTCAACAAGTTCGGAGCAGACAGAAAGACCCACCCCTCCCCCTGGCTCACCTCACTTCTTAACAAAATCCACCGTACTATACGCCGGATAAGGAAACCTCAATCTCTCCCGAACCTCCACCGCTTCCCGTTCTTCACTTTCATATTCTCCTTTTCCCTCTTCTCCCTTCTTCCCCTCCCTCTTCCCACTCCCACTCTTTCCCCCATTTCCTCCCTTCTTTCTACCACCCTCCCCCCTTTCTCCANCTCTTCTCCCTTCTTCCCCTCCCTCTTCCCACTCCCACTCTTTCCCCCATTTCCTCCCTTCTTTCTACCACCCTCCCCCCTTTCTCCAGACTTCACCAGCCCAGACGCACCCCCAGGAAAACTCCCACTCCCAAACTCCGGCGCCTCACTAGCCGTCGCCTCCACAGCAGCCCTCCTCTTCCGGTCTTGCTCCGCGACATAAGCTTCTTCCGCTTCGGCGGCGGCGAGTTCGGCTTCTTGACGGCGGACTTCTTCTTCGAGGGCCGCGAGCTCTTCGGCGATTTCGGTGTCGGATTGGGGGTTCTGGGGAGGATTAGTGTGGTGTGTGGGTCGGAGGGGTTTGAGTTGAGGGTGAGGATTGGGGTTGAGATGAGGGTGAGGATTGAGATGAGAGTTTGTGGGAGGATGGAGGGGGATTGAAGAGGGGAAGAGGGAAGGGGGAAAGGAGAATGGTGTAGCGAGTAGAGGATACGATATGGGATGGCATGGTGGGAAAGAAAGAAAGAAAGGAAATGAAAGAAAGAAAAAAGACATACACCTTCAGCACCACCCGAGGGATCAACGACGAATGGCATTATGATCAAAGTTTCGGTGCTTTAGTATTAGAGGGTGACTGAGATAGTTTTCGATGTCGGTTCCGTGTTCTAATATCAGTCGTATCTCTCAATATTCGTTTATATGGTTGTATATAGCAAGTCGTGTAGAGTATCGTATCGTATGCGTATCTTGTATTCTTGATCTCAAAGATATATTTCTTTATATTTATAAAAGAGAAAAGAAGAAGAAAGGAACGAAGAAGATATGTGAGGGAATTTATACTTCTGACAGAGGGGGGGATGGGATTCACTGCGTGAACTTTGAGAGGATTGGATTGGATTGGATTTGACTCGATTCACTTATATGGAAAAGAGGGAGGGAGGGAGGGAGGAAGGAAGTGAATTGTGGTGTAGGATGTTGATAAGTGAATAGGTCNATTGGATTTGACTCGATTCACTTATATGGAAAAGAGGGAGGGAGGGAGGGAGGAAGGAAGTGAATTGTGGTGTAGGATGTTGATAAGTGAATAGGTCTGATGTGAAGAGGTGAAGAGGTGATTCAATATCGTTTCTATGTGTGTATGTGCCGTAAGATTACGAAGAAGAAATCCCCTCATTCACATGCCACGTCAGTCAATCCTATATTTCTCATGATATGTGGTAGACGAATAGAACCACCACACCCAGCCAGCCATTCACAGAACCACACATCAAGACCATGATTCAAACTCGTGGAAAAGGGAGGCAAGGAAGGGAAGACTCTTGTAAATACAGTACAGTACAGTAACATTCAAAAGTAGTTATTCCTACTCTCACTCCGGTAATCCGTTTTCGTCCCGGGGAAAGCTCCCACGGGTGTTTGTCCCCCACCTTCCTCGTCCGAGTCCTCTGCACTTCCGTAGTCATCCACTCGATCGGGTGGTGCCCGCATGGCTTCCAGGACTGAGAGGTCTAGAGTTGGGGGTACGAATGGTTTCATACTGTGGATTTCTCGTCCTGATGGCATGGAAGCCATTAGAGGTCCGATTTGGGGTATGATTTTGGTGTTGATCTGTATACCATTAGTCAAGTTCGAAAGGAAAGGAAGAAAAAGAAAAACGACGTTTGAGACTTACGGTATCGTTCATCTTGTTCCACTTCTTATCCAGCATCTCAATCACCCTACTCTCCTCTAACCTCCCGGCGTCAGACCCCCAAGCTGCTCCCTTCTCAATTCTCTTATCCTCCTTCTTCTCCGTCCAATCTTTCTTCAATCGTCCCAAGCTAAGACTTTTCTTACTCCCGTCCTCCTTCCTCGCAGAAGAAAAGCCCAACTCATAGGTCCCAGCCTGCAACCACGCAATACCCACACCAGTCTGGCCACCAAGCTCGGCGTCAATCCCAAAAAATCGACATGCCTTTCCCCTCCCCGTCTTTCGTAGATCCTCTACGTACTTGAGTAAATCCGCATCAACCTTTCCTTTCCCTGATGCGGTGCTTAATAACGAATGTGCATTGGCAGCATGTTCAGCAGCAGCTAAACATAGACGGGCGAAGAGATGTGCTCTAACCTTGGGAATCTCAGGCGCTTTAATCATCCATTCCTTGTCATTCTTATTACGATCCTGTGCTACGGCCGCTGGATAGGGATCATCTTTCAGAACAGCCAGGAGCGTTGCTTCAGCCATCGCAAGAGATGAAAAAGCCCGGAAAGCTGTCTTGGTGATATCTACACATGGTGGATCGGAAGACAACTGATCAGTCCGTGTAGATATGTAATCATGAACTGAAGCTGCGGACAATAGATGCTTGGTAGCTGTAGTGATCGCCAGAGTACGCTGTTCCGTACTAGGCGAGGCATTTGCGGAAGAGTAAAGAGGATGTAGTGACGCTCTCGCAAGCAAAGTCTGTGAATACCCCAGAATCGAGAGCACAAAATAAATCTCATACTCCAAAGATGCGATCTTGATTTTTCCGCGATCCCGTCCTGGAATAGGGTTATCCGAGATGGTGGATCTCCATTGCAAAGTCGGTGTGTCTTTCAACAACACATCTATCTCCTCCCCAGCCACCGGTCGACTTCCTAGACCTTCATCTAGCACTAGAAGATACGGGATGTAGTTGTTCAAGGCGAGAATGACATTTCCGAGGTTTGAGGACTGCTCGTGTGGTGGTAAACGCTTGTGTTTCTTCAAGCAATCCCGGAGCACGCCACGATAGGTGCTTGCCGATAAGGGAAGAGAGGGGTGAGAATCGCTGCTGAAATGTTTGGAAAAGGAGAATGGTGACGTGGTTGGAAGTACAAATGGAAAGGGCATTTTCCATGAAGTCGATCGACGACACTTGCCCTAAGGAGGGGTGGGGGTGATGCGATGCGTTTGGCGGGGTAAAATGTCCGAGGTGGGCTTCCTGGTCACAGCTGTCGGTTGGTGCGTGTGAGATTCAGAGATTCTGGTAACCTGAGCCTGAGATATCAACGAGCCTGCCAAATGAAGCTGAGTGAATTCCTGAAGCTGGAGCTCACTTCACTAGTTTTTTAAATCCCAAACTCTCACAGCACAAGCAGGATGTCAAGTGAACTTTAAGGCAGATGTGCCAATGAAACTGATCCAATACGGGTACTTCTTGGCCTTTGTCTGCAAGGCTGCCTCGCTGCTCATCCACAATCAATACGTCATTGGCTGAACTGGAGACTTGAGCATGTTCGTGTAGCAAAAATCATCATATCTACCATCTGCGAATTTTCTCACCACTACAATTCACAATTCTTCGCAATCAAATCCAAGAGGCCAAGGTATTCAATTCGGATTCTCTCAAAATATCATCATGTCGGCCTCCAAAGACCAATCTACCCTCAGCAGCGCACCTGGAGCTGGAACTACCTACGGCCCTAAGGATACCAAACCATCCTCCACAGCAACTCCCGCCATGTCTGTTGGCTCTGCGACAGCGGCTGGTCATGGCCCCCACCCAAACGACAATGCAGACGAAAGCAATGTTACCTTGCCAAACTCTCGAGTTGGCCCACAGCAGGAGGACCTGGACGGGGAGCAGATGCGGGCGCCTGGTGAAGGAGAAGTCATGCATGCACAGTTTGACAAGAAGAATGCTGGTTGGGGCGACCAGAAAAGCTTGACTAGTAATTTGGAAGCGCAAAAGGCAGAGCAAAAGGGTGCCCGGGAAGAAATCAAGGCGCAAAGGAACGAGGGTGCCAATGTGGATGGGGGTGCTGGAAATAGGGTCGAGAACGAAGGTATGGCTGCGGTATGAACATAGAAGGGAGATGACGGGGAAGCGAGAATGAATTGGGAGCGAGGAGAACTTTCATTAGGTCCTACAACCTCTCTTGGTCTTTCAATTCCATCTACCATACATACCATAAATGCCCAAAGCTTCGCATTTGAAGCAAATCCCAATCGAACGCCTTCGCAATGCAATAATGAGACCAGATCCGGACCATTAGAAATCCATATCCTCCATGATTTCGTCCCCTAGAGAGCTGAGAACGGAAGATTGCCGTCGCGATGATACAATGGATTTGACAACGTTCTCGCTCCGTAGCTTCTCTGTAAATTCTGATATACTCTCGAATTCTCCACCTTCTATTTTGATTGCTCGAGGCTCTGCAGATTTCCCGAGGAATGTGCCATTGTATCTTGTATCTTCGTCGGTTGTACTGTGTTTCTTCTTCAAAACTGCATGTTTTTAGTATTCGAAAACTACGCGCTGGATACGTCCACCATAACTAAACTCACCCGTCAAATAGTCATCCTTTGCCCCATCGCCTCCTTCCAGCGCAATCCTCCTAATGTCGCGATTGCTTGGGCCTTGAGCCCAACTGATGAAATCGCCTACGCCCCGAGTATCTTCTTGGCCCATAAATTCCTGCTCTCCTGACGGTATCTCTGGATACAGCACACCGCATGATTCCATGGCCATTCGAACATCTCGTACCGTAATACTGAATGCGAGGTTGGGTTCATCGGCATTGTTGACATCAGCATGAGATAAAGCAGACTCGGCGATGGTGACCATAAATCTCGCTACAATATCTGTAAAGGCATCCAGAACTGACGGTTTCGTCGAGTGGAATCCAGCTGCGCGGAGGACGTGGAGTACACAGGGGCGCAAAAGAGCGTGATACAGAGCTTGCGGGTTTGTCATTTTCCAGAGGTGATGGGCAGGTGTGACGGGATATAATTGATAGCTCCAGCTGCTTCTTTTCTGGTAATGGTGAGGTTGGCCAGAGAATTCTGCTCTGTTGGTACGGGATATAGTTGCAAGCAAACGAGCACTCTGGTCGTTGAAGGAAATTGAAATTGTCGGGACAGCAAGGTCAAGGGACAAACGATGTAAAGTTCTTCATGGCCAGAATTCCTATGACAGATGACAATCTGGAACTGAATTGTCAAGCCGAAGGTGAAGGTATGATAGACAGCATCAAATGGGCGAGGGCCGTTGTATTTGGTGGTAAAGCAAATCTTCCGTCCTCCGTAGATGGGCAGTAGGATAGCTTCTACGGTGCTTCCCAAAATTGGGGTGAATTTAGGATCTTGCGCTTGTGGTCGTTTAGGCCACCGGAGTTTATCTAGGCTTGTCTCACCGCAGCGCTGCGGGATGGGATATTTCAAGCCGTCGCATCGAGGTCCCCTGCCCTTCTGCGGCTCTGCCATACCTACGGAATACATCATATATCGCGACAACCAAATATCAGCGACCTCCTCCACTACCCCACCAGCTCCTCGACCTACAACGCGCTGATGAACGCGCTATCATAATCAACATCCGCCATCATGAAGCTCAAGTTAAATCTCAATACATCCAGTGCTAATGTTGCAGCTGCTGCGTCTTCGGGCACTCCTACAGCAGCGACACCAGGGCCCGCGCCGACACCAGGGCCCGCGCCGACACCAGGAGGCTCTCGACCAGGCACAAAAATCAAGTTCAAGACCAAGTCCACGCCATCTACTCCTTTGGAGCTCTCAGAGCCACCCAAGCTCAAGAAGTGGAAGGCCCCAAAACCCTCCAAGTCATCCATAAAAACTGCGAAACATGTGGAGAGCAAGAAGGGCGATAGCAAGAAGAGAGACAGAGAGGAAAGCGACGACGAGCACGGAACAATCGCAGTTCAACCCCCTAAACATCAACCAAAGAAGATCAAGATAGTTAGCGCCAAAACTCCCAAAACTCCCATCGCACAAACACCCATAAATTTCAAGGCAAAGATCAAGGGCAGGCCTCTTCAACGACACAAGGGAGAAGGATATGACTCCGAGGCCAGCGACACCGAAATCGATCCAGTTCAGTTGGAGGGATTCATCTGGCGACTGCTTCCTAATGATGACTGTGAATATCTACGACAATGTATTGTTGAGAAGAAAATGGGCGTCCCTATCTCACAAGGCGGTCCACATATAACGTTCAGGTTTTTTAGTCCTGATGCTCGACGAGTCTCATTTAATATTCGAGGACAATACTACGCAGCGATAGCGGTCGATTTGCCTACAATCACCGAAGCTATGAAGAGTTGGGACAAGCGTGGTTGGTGGAAGAGTGTAGATATCTGTCAGATGATTTTGATGCTGGCACCGGTTGAGAAGGAAGAAGACGTGAGAACATTCCCACTTCCAAAGGAGGTTAATCCAACGACATGGGCTTATTCCCACGGTATTACGCCTCCCATGCATTATGCTCGCAAACGACGTTTCAGAACTCGAGCGAACAGAAGCGACATTGAACAAATGGAAAGCGTCGTTGCCAGACTTCTAGAAGCCGATAGTAAGGCGGTATCTTCGAGTTGGCAGATGATTGATGAGAACAAAGAGAGAAGAAGTCAAATGTACAGTCCTAACCCGGAAACTCCTGGGGGAGATGACCACGACGAGGACGAATACGACGACGAAGACGCAGAGGGAGAAGAGGACGATACTTCACAGCAGCAAGGCTACTTCAACACAGCCCACCACAACGAAGGAGGAGAAGACGAGGATCAGGACGACGAGCTTTTCGCAGGAATGGAGAAGGAAATCGAAGCTGCGTTGGAAGATCAACTCGATGAACAAATGGACGTATCAACACCGATGTCTACTACCGGAGCCACGCCCTTGGCATCAAACGATAACTCATCTGCTTTGCCACAAGAAGAAGAGGAAGAAGAAGACAGTGGTGATGAGTCTATGGAAGGAGATGACGAGGAAGATGACGATGTGGAAATGAACCCAGAGGAACGAGAGCGACTCGCCCAAATCGAAGAAGTCAAGGAGGATATCGCCGATCTGGAAAAGAGAATCGAAACCGCTCAGACACAAATTGCTACACAACAGAATCCAATTCTTAAGAAGAGATTGGAGGATAATGCACGCAAGTTGAAGGCTGAGTTGCAGATCAAGAAGTCATCCATCGGCGAAGGGGATGAGTATTGAGGGCGTAATAGTTTGTATTAAGAAATGGCGTGCGGAAGTGCTCTGCATGGCCTATTTTCTATTCGGCTGGGAATTTGGTCGATGATGGATCATCATTTTTTGGGTGAACCGAAAACTTATATCGGCGTTAGAGCATAGCATCTAGAGGCGTTTTTCTGGTTGACTTGAGGGCCGGATAGTATTACGCTCTCTTGGAGGCTTCGGGACGAATCAGAAAAGTGTATAGAAGGGCCGTGACACTAGCGAGAAATGAAAAGAAGTTGAGCAACTTGGTCTTCATACAGTATTCTTTGGTACTAGCAAGGTCTTTCCTCCCGAGACGATTTACTCTTTTTTCTAAACCGTGAGAGTATCTTGATAAAATTGGTGTCAGAAGTATTACTTCATGTATTTCTTCGTATCTTCTTGTAGTGTTTTATACACTCTTCTACTTTCTTACAATACTTACAAACATACAAGTGACATCAAATGCCACAATCTTCCATATCCTTTTCCTTCCATACCTTCCCTCCACAATCCATTCATAACCTCCCCTCCAAACCACATTTCCCACACCTCATAAACCATCCTCCCATCCCCTCTCCTTCAAACCCCCCTCTACATACTCCTCAAATAATTCTTCGTCTTAATCCCCTGCCTCCGCTCCCTCCTCATCGCCCTCCGAATCTCCTCCCGCGCCCCCACCGCATCCATCGCCCCCACCACGGTGCCCTCCGCATTGGACGGTAAATCAATCGACTGCTGTGTGAGCGGGATCTTGGGCTCGAACAGCGAGGTGTCGCCGGAAGCGAGGAGCGCGGCTTCGAGCTTGCGTTGCCGTTTTGCGGCTTTGCGACGGAGTTTTTTGGATTTCGCTATATGGGGGGAATGGGTGTTAGTTTGTGGTTAAGTTATCTGAGAGAGCGGAAGGGAGAAGGAGGGGAG